TTTTAGTGATTTTGAACACTTCAGAAGTCAACATTCTTCAATTTTCCTCTGAAGAGCTTTGGTTTCTAAACCCAGTGTATTTTCTTGCACACTGCAGGAGGCTGCTGGCTGGTGGGGTTTGCTTTTCACTGTCTGAATGAGAGTAAATGTGCAGGAACTTTGTGAGACAGTTAAGAAACCAAACAGATTTGTCTGAGTTTAAATATGAGGTTTATTTTCACTTATGTTTGTTTAAATATGAGGTTAAAGATGTGGATTTGAACATGTAATGTTCAGCAGTGTCCTTGTTTTTACACAGACTTGTTTGGCACACAGCTTTCTCTCTGCTTTCTCCTTTTCAATTGTCTGTAAATGTCTGGAGAGTGGCAGTGAGGCCCAGAGCCACCTGCAGCAGCAGAGCTCTTCCCATGGACACAGCAGACTTTGAATTCAGTGCTGAGCCCAGGAGAGGTGGTCCCTGGCCTTCCCAAGCTCCTGGAGCTGCAGCAAAATGTGACCACTCTTGTATTCAGCCCTGAGAATTCCACACATGGAAAGTCAGAGTAAACCCATATGCCTCTGTTTTCTTTAGTTATGTGGTTGTCCTTGGAGAAAATGTGCTCTCGTAGAAGAGTGGAAATTCTTGCCTTTTTCAGTAGAAATAACCATCAAAGACACAGCTATTCAGTAATCTCTGTAATCTCTGTCAGGCTCCTGGGCTTTCACTGAAGAAAACAAGGTATTAAACACCAAAAATATATTGTTTTTCATTTAAGTCAAAGTATCTGTGAATATAAATTTGGACTTTTTAGCCAACTTTTTCTCTAGTAAATATTTTATAAATCTGTATTGGTAGTCATTTGGGTTTTGTTTTATTAATTTAAAATCTGTGAGGAGCATCTGTTACTCTGTGCCCACAGTATCATCTCAGCTCCATTTGGTGAACATTTCTACTGGCTTGAGGACATCTTTAAAGCTGACAGGCAGCAGTTAGGACAACGCTTGTAATTGGATTTGTAATCCAGAGGATCCTTCTTTCTGTGGCTTCCTGCTGCTCTGACAAACAAGTTAAAGGAGGGAAAAAATCACATTCACTTTCTCTGCTGTGGTGTAAAGGGATGTCCTGCTCAAGCTGCTGCCTGGCAGGAGGGTGCCCAGAGCAGGGACCTGGCTCTTGCCTTACTGGCTGGTAGTGGCTGGTTGCATCTTCTTGCAAAGGGGCAAATCAGCCGTGCCAGGCACTGCTCAGACTTCAAACAACAGGACCAAGCTTGCTCTCAGGAGCTCTGTGATATGCAGCACTTTAACCTTGCAAGTTTTTGGAGCAGCACTGCCTCTTTTGGGGAATTTGCTGCCACCTTAGTTAGAAAGGGTTATTTGACACAACTGGAAAATGCCTCTGAGGCTGGAGGCTTCAGCTCACCACGTCAGCCTGATGTTTGTTGATGAAGAGTGTGTCAGGAATGCTCTGCACTGGGGCTCAGAGGGCTGCACTGACAAAAGGCTGTGGACAGCAGGCAGCTTCAGAGCCTCTTGCCTGATTTGACACTCACCCTCCTGCACTGCTGTGGGGAGTTTGGTATTCTCTGACCACCTCAGTTCTTAAATTATGGACAGGTACTGTTAGTGCTGTGGATTGCTTGAGTCAAGTGGAGCTGGATGCCTTCTCTGCACTTGCTCAAAGAGCAGAACTCAAGTCAGGCAGGCATCTGTGTTCATCCATGTCCAGGAGCCTTGGAATGCTCAGGGTTGATCAAGGCACCCCTGCTGAAACCAGGGCCAGGCTGTGAGCTGTGTCTGCAAGCAGGTTTTAGTGCATTTGGGATGGTGGCAGCAGTGATTTTGCAGTAATCCCCCATGAAGGGAGCCCCTCTGAGGTGTCTGAGACCTTTCACACTTCTCCCTGTGAGTCAGTCCCAAGGTGTGTACAGAATTGGTTCCCTTTCAGACTCAATTGTGCAGTGGATTGGTGATAAATCATGTATTAAAGACAAGTTTCAAAGGAGAGGTGTGAGGTGAAGGAAGGCATTAGAGATGAGGGTAGTGCTGCCCCCTGAGCAGTGCTGCATCCAGCTCACAGCTGAATCAAAGCATGTGGCCAGCTCATCTGAGGGCATCTTTCTTCCTACTGCTCTTAATGATGGGTTTTTACCAGGCTGGAAGAAAGTTCAAATAAAGACTTAGTGCTCTCTTTCTTCTGTGCATTCTCAGTTTGAAATCTCACTTTCTTATGTGAGAGGTAAGAGACACTTTTCCATTTTTCCACTTTTCCAGCAGCTGCCCCCTCATTCCCTGTCATTAAGGCTGAGCTATCTCATGCTCATGGCAGGGTTTTAGGCTGCCATCAGTGCTCTTGATTTGTTTATCCATCATATCCCAGAACTAGGTTACTCTTCCCAAATGTACCTTATGTGTGTCACATAAATGTCAGTTTATGTGTGAAGATATCCCAAAACCTCATCTCATTTCCCTTGGCTAAAGCAATAACACCAACTTAAACGATGACTACTTCATGAATGAACTTTCATTCATTTTGGAGTTTCATTTCAAAGGTTAGGTGTTACAGAGGGCACTAAAGCATAAAATTATACATGCAAATATAGCCCCAGTGTAATAATGCCATGGACCTAATTTAGATTTCTTCTTTGTGTAAAGAGTGCTCAGTCTAACTTCCACCATTTCCCAAATGTCTGTGGTTTGATGGAGCCAAAGCATTAGGATGATGTCTTTAATGATGGGTTTATGAGGTGAAGGTTATTGCAGTGGCAGGGAATTGGCACAAGGAAGATAACAGATAACATATCAGAAAGGAGGCAGCTGCCTTGCCAAAGGTGAACTCATGAGCATTGGCATGTAGAGGGAAGGAAGAGCAAAACCTGGAACTAGTACTGAGCTAAGAAAACACATGCTACAGTCACAGAAGGCATTTATCATCCTTAATTTTCAAAAGAAATTCCATCACTTGATTACTGCCAAATGGTAATTTTCTGGTAATGACAAATTGCAGATGAATTCCCCAGAATCCTGAAAAACACTTAGCTGGAGTAGTAAAAATGCCCTGGTTAATCTCTTAAGCATGTAATTCTTCGTGTTAAGAAATTTAGAGTCCCACAGGATTAGCTTTTTGAACCTGTGATGTTCACAGCAACTCCAAAAAATCAATTCAGACACAACAGTGGCCTCAGTGTTGTTATTTCTTGGGTAGAGGAGCTCAAGGAGGGCATGGCCACAGCACACAGACCACTGAGGAGTGGTGCTCCATGGCAGCCAGTGCCCAGAGGGGAGCACAGGATTCACTCTGTTGCTCTCTAGCTGCTCGCATGTGCATCGGCTTTTTTGTTTCTTTGAAAGGGCAAAAAAGAACTTAATGAGAAATAAAGAGAGATAATCAAAAGCATAGAATGAGTTTGCCATGAGGAGAGAGAGTGAATAGAATAGCATTCTTCAGCTCCAAAAGAGATGTCAGACAGGAGAGATGATAACAGGTCTATAAAATCATTAAGAAGGTGGAAAAGGTGACCAGATAGTGATTATTCACTGTTTCTCACAGTACACATCCTGAGGGGAGTCAAAGGAAATTATCAGACAGCAAATTTAAATGAGCAAGAAACACTTGGTTCAGATGAAAAACAGAGAGATTGTGGAACTGAATGCCACTGAGTATTGTGGAGTTAGAAATGAAGGATTCATAAGATATATCATGAAGATAAATCTCTCAAAGGTTATTTTAAAAATGAGATCTGGATGCAAATTCTTGCTTTGGAATTTTCTAAGGTATAATGCTTACAGCTGCCCCATTTTGTACCTATTTTGTACCATGACCCTAGACTTCTGGTACTCACCAAAGACACGAGACAGGACTAGATGAACCCATGATGCTTTAACTAGGTCTGGCCCACCGCATGTTTTCCTGTGCACATGGGTTGTGGCATTCCAAAATATATTGTTGCTTCTGGAAGGTTTTGGGTCTGTCCTGATGTGGGACTGAGCTTCACAGATCAAGGGATGAAGTTTGGATCTCAGTACACATGAAAAATATTTGAGTGACATCTTGCAGAGATCACTTTCTGTTTGCACTGAGATTGTGCACAACTCTCCTGAGACCCAGAACTTTGCTTCCATGTGTCTGTGATGCCATGGCAAAAGTGGCTATTTTTCTGTCAGGGTTATTTTAATTACTGTAAGAATCTTGCTCTTGAATCTTCATAGCTGTAGTGCTTTCATATTTTGAAAATTTTTCTCTTTAAAATTTGCTCCTTTCTACCCTATGACAGTGATTTCAGCTACCCCCCTCAAACTGGTGGGTATGGAGTGGTCAGCTGGAACACAGCAGAGTGATGACTGCCTTTCCTACACCCACAAATTCCAATTAATGCTAGAAAAGTAGGAGTTAGGCTGCATTCACTGAGTCAGCTGTGGAGCACAGCAAAGCTGCTGCTGTTCCTGGAGGAGGGTGTCCTGCCCTGGAGCTGTGCTCCCAGGAGTGTTGTTGGATGTTTTCCCTTTCACCTGGAATCAGTAACTGTAACCGTGTTCAAGGGGTCCAAGGATGAGGGAAGAGACGAGGATCTGACTCCATGTTTCAGAAGGCTTGATTTATTATTTTATGATCTATATTGTATTAAAACTGTTCTAAAAGAATAGAAGAAAGGATTTCATCAGAAGGCTGGCTAAGAATAGAAAAAGAAGGAATGATAACAAAGGCTTGTGTCTGAGCCAGCTGACTGTGATTGGACATTAGTTAGAAACAACCACATGAGACCAATCCCAGATGCACCTGTTGCATTCCACAGCAGCAGAGAACCATTGGTTACATTTTGTTCCTGAGGCCTCTCAGCTTCTCAGGAGGAAAAATCCTAAGGAAAGGATTTTTCATAAAAGATGTCTGTGACACAGTAACTTCTCTTCCAAGCAGCTTTAGGCAGTGGGCTGAATGTGTGCAGGACCTGCATTGTCTCTGCTGCCTCTTTGGAGCCCTGTCTCCAAAGGTAACAGTCTCCTTTTTGGTTTCCTTTTCCTAGGGATATCCATGCCTATTCCAGTCATTGGTTTGCAGGATGACTCCCGGGTGTTTGTAAACGGGACCTGCGTCCTGAACGACGAGAACTTCGTCCTCATCGGATCCTTCATGGCTTTCTTCATCCCCCTCATCATCATGGTGATCACGTATTGCCTGACTGTCCAGGTGCTGCAGAGACAGGCCACGGTGTTCATGTGTGGAGAGGTGCCCAAGCAGAGGAGGAGCAGTGTGAACTGCCTCAAGAAGGAAAACAACACAGAGAACATTTCAATGCTTCACAATCACGAGGGGGCCTCCCACTTGAACTCCCCTGTCAATAAGGAGGCGGTGCTGTTTCGGAAAGGAACGATGCAGTCCATCAACAACGAGCGAAGAGCCTCCAAGGTCCTGGGCATCGTCTTCTTTCTGTTCCTCATCATGTGGTGCCCGTTTTTCATCACTAATGTCATGTCTGTCCTTTGCAAGGAAGCCTGCGACAAAGACCTGTTGAGTGAGCTCCTGGATGTGTTTGTTTGGGTGGGGTACGTGTGCTCCGGGGTCAATCCCCTGGTGTACACCCTCTTCAACAAAACCTACCGCAGGGCTTTCTCCAACTACATCCGCTGCCAGTACAGGCCTGGCAAAAAGTCAGCCCTGAGGCAGAACCAGTGTCTGAACGTGGCCTCAACAGCTTTGTATGGGAAAGACCTGACTTTAACCAGTTATAGAAATGGCAACGAGTTCAATAGCATGGAACTGGATGAAGCTGAGGAGGGCCTTGAGATGCAACCAGGGACTTCAGAGCTCTCCATAAACAGCTGTAATGTTGTAAGTGAACGAGTGAGCTGTGTGTAAAAGTGACTCTCACAGACCTTTGCTACAGGTATCTGTAGCCAAAATATATTGTGTAAAAATGTAAGTGTTGGTCAAAGGACTATGTAAATATTGCATTCTGAACAAAGCTTTCATTTTTTTTAAAGAGGAAAAAGAATTGTCTTTCCAGTCCAGTACTTAAAATAATATATATTAATATACTGCAGTGAAGTTTAAGGTTCTATATTTACTGTTAATACTAGATCAGAACTATTAGTTACTTTGCATATGTCATGGACAAAATGTTTGAATTCTTCTTCCAGTGCATGAACAAAAATGCTGAATATTTATCTCAGGTGGAATTTGCTGGAGTCCAGAATGGCACGTTAATAGTTATATATCAAATACATGCTATTAGACTTGGTCAGTATAACTTTCTTTTTCAAGTTGACAGTAAATATATACTTTAAATCCTCACCCCTATTTGTGCCGTGTAAAGACTTTACAGAAATCTGGCAGAGAGACATCTCAACAGCGTCATGGTCGTGCAGGCCAGATATGTCCTGTTATGTGTAGTGGCTTCTGCCATACTGGGTCAATCTTGCACTTCAAGGGACCTTTGTTAGATTCTGGCTCCCTCTCCAATCCTGCTGTTTTCTTTCTGTCCCTCAGGAGGCTCTGGCTCCCCTAAGAAAGGCAGGGAATGTGGTTTTGCAGTCCTGGCTGGGATCACTTGGGCTGGAGAAGAAGTGTGAGAAGCAGAGTGATGCCCAGTTATCTAGTTCAAACATCCAGTAAATGGAAGGCCTAGGATTCATTAAAAGCCCTCCTCTGGTCTTGCAGATAACATCAGCTCTGGGGTGGAGCAGGCTGTGTGGCCAGGTCTGCCTTCACAGATTGCTGGAGGACAAGGGGCTTTGGCCTGTCTGAAGAAGAGCGCTCTGGCTTTGGAAGAGCCCAAATCCCTGCTCTTCTCACTCCTCACATCTAGATATGCTTTAGCTGGTTTGGCATTTGCTTTTATTTTGCAGCCCAGTGCTGGTGACAGAACAGTGCTTTGGGCACAGAGCAGAAGGTTCTCTGTGTGTGGTGCTGTCAGGGTCAGGCTGTGAGCAGCAGGATGTGCCTGCCTGGGGAGAGCTGGAGAGAGGAGTAAGAGAGGGTCCCTGCTCTTGTCTCAGGAGGGGCTGGGCAGAGCTGAACAGAGCATGTGACTGGAGTCATTTGCTGGTGACACTGTTCTAAAGCAAATGGTGACCAGGGACAGCAGGGAAGCAGACCTGGAGCTGGTCTGCATGGAGTATGAATCTGGAGTAACTTTAAAATTTGATTTATTCCATTTTACTCCCAAAGTAAATTAGAGTATATCATATTAACACCACTTACATCTTTAATGAAAGCATCCACATTGGGATTGAATGTATTTTAAGTAATCTGCTTTTAATACACACCATGTATAATTTGAATTAATTTTCCTCTGCATTCCTATGTACACAAACCCTCTAAGGCACTGTGTCTTTCTGGCACTGTGCCTCTGGGGTGATGCCTCTCATGCAGATTTCCTCATGTGGAGTATTGTCTAATGCCAGATATCACCCATAAGGTTTTTATATCTTCATTAACTACTACACAGATGCTGCAGTGCCCATCTAACATGGAATTCATTTAGCATCACTGACAGCCTCTGGCTAAGATAATTGTCAGAACACAGAAGCTTGCACTAGGCATGGATAAATCACATTTTATTTACATGAGTTGCTTGTACTCTCAGCTTCCTGTGTTCTTTCCATTAAAACTAACTTGTAGAAAAACTGGAAAATTCTGCCAGTGCTTGAGATGCTGTTGCATGGCTGTGTGCAGCTACAACCTTGCTGAGGCCACTACTAAAACACAACATTTGGGTTGTATCTGCTGCTGGGTTGATCCCAGAACGATGCACTGAAGTTGATCATCCTCTCTCCCTCATCCCCTCCTGGGATAAATCCTAGTACTTCCCTGCAGGCAGATGAGGTATCCCAGTGCAGAGTGCAGCTCACTGCTTGCAGAAGGCAGCAGAGCTGCTCCATGTGCCAGCCTGAAGATACCACCATGGGCTTGAATGCTTGGGAATCCACTTGCCTCTCCAAAAAGGTCAAGTAATCAGCAGGAAAACCACTGGCCAGAGACACAGTTGCACCTTCAGCAACTGCCCTTTACCCTGAGTCAGATTTTATTATCTCAAAAAGTACAGAAAAATCAGAAAAATCACAGTGCATTTTAATTTTTTTCCCCCTTTGGGTGAATGTATAGCACATCTCTTCCAAACATGTATATGTGTGTGTGTATATATATATACACATGTATGAGTTTGTACTTATATATATATATATATACACATATATATATATCTTTCAGAACCAACCACAGACTTTGAAAGCATTTAGCAATAAGTTGAATTACAGTAGCTTCTAGCACATGTGTAAGTTGTGTGAATAGCTCATTTTCCACCTGGAGCTCAGTGTAAGTGTTCACACAGGCATTGTCTTCGCATGGGAGCCTTCATGTCTCACCCTTGCCAGTTCTGTTGTATGGGCAAAAAGGGAACCTGCTATATTTGGATGTAAATAATGAGAATTGAACAAATTTTCAGAATTTTTATAAGTGTTTTTAAAAAAAATTCAGCGCCAGAACTGTAAATATGCTAACCTCAGCTGGACCTGTTCTGATGTCCATCTCTTGTCTGGATGAAGAGCCAAGGGGACTGACTGCCTTACAGCGCCTGCGTTCCTCCCAGCCAGCAGGGGAGAACATTTCTCTGGATGGTTAAAAACTGTCACCTACCCAACTTTCTTTGGGTCATTCACATCAGGGTTTTGTGATGCTGCTATTAATTTATTAAAGAAAGTTTGTTGGTTTAATCATTCTTCATTATTTATTTTTTTCATGATCTATCAGAAAATAAATAAGTGAACATGCCCTCTCTTTCTTTCATCTGTCCCCAGTTAAAATATGTCCTGATCATAAACCCAAACCAACAACAAAAAAGGAGGATAAGGACTTGTACTTGAAGAATGGCCCACAGCTGCTTAATCACAGGAATTAGTGTCAGCAGATGTCCCAACACTCCCAACCCCAAAACTTGTTAAATGTGAAAGCAGTGATAGACTATTCTCCCTCTTCAAATTGCTCCCTTTCAGGAACAACTGTTAAAATTTACAATTTTTTTAACTATGTGAATTTGAAGAACTGATTAAATTTTCTGAAACTTAACCAAAGTCAGGTTGTTCCCACAGCTCCTTTGCTTCTCCTGAGATGTAACCATTAACTGTGGTGGTGCCTCCAGAAGCCCTGCCTGGGGCTATCTTGTGGAAACACCTGCTGGAAGCTTTGTGTGAGTCCTCAAATCCCTGCTCAGGTATGGTTTTGTCTTACAAATAGTGTCTGTGGCAGTGTTTTGCTTTGATTTGGACTGAAGAAGTGAAGATAGTTCCTTGGAAATGGTTGGAGGCTGAGATGTGCTGGCTGCTTTGTTTCCCAAACCAGATGGAGCTGTGCAGGCAGGCTGCCCATGGACAGCACACACGCAGGGGCTGTGCCCCAGCCAACACACCCACCCCCTTGGAACTGGGCAAACTGCTCTGGGGACAGCCCTGGCCAGAGCTGGCATCTTCCTGAGCTCCAGGGGCTTGCTGTTTTCCCTGGCCAGGGTCAGAAGCAAGGCTGGCTGTGGTGTTCAGGCACAAACCCTGTGGCTGGGCAGCCTGGTTTCCAGACCTGAGCTGCTCATCTGTTCCATGCTGTCCCACACAACCAGGTCTGGGGTGCAGCCTCCGTGGGATCAGCTGGGGTGGCTTTGGGGACCTGTCTGTGCCTCACAGTGCTTTGAGGAGAAGAACAGCTCCTCCCATCCTGTGCTTGCTGAAGAAAAGAGCAGCTACCCAGAGGCTGTGACATTTGGAGGTGACGAGGTTCAGAGCCAGTGCTGAGGAGTCCTAAGGCATCCCACCTCTGCACAGCTCTTTATTGTCTGAAGAACTGTGAGTCTTCAATAGTTTTCATCTGAGTGATAATTCAGAGATGTAAATGTGAGGTGATGTGTGAGTAAGCACTGTGAACAGTGTGGTTCTTGCTGTTTTCTCTGCAGAGACGCTCATGTCAATGTTTTGAGCCTTTCTTCTGGACAGCCCTGTGAAGAGTTTCATCACTGGTGTGGAGGGTGCCTGGTGCTCTTCCCAGTCACCATCCAAGGTGTTGGAGCCATGAGGGCCCTGGAGAGACACAAATTCCAAAGGAGAAATATCTTTCAAGGAAGAAAAGCAAACCACAATCAGCCCTTCAGAAACACCATTTCACTTTGAGCTGCTGAAGGGTGTGTGATGCTGTGGCAGACAAATTGTGCATTCCAAAAGCAGAGCCCATCATGTGATAAAGGAGCAGATGTCTCTTGGATGGCTTTCCTCCCTGTGTCACAGCATCATTAGGACAGCTACATGCCAGCAACTGCACTTGGCTTTGTCTCCATTTCAGGGGCGGAGAAGGCATCAGAGGCTTTTTCCTAGGAAAAGGCACACAAAAGAGCACCAAGCCTTGTGCAGGTGAAGCAGAAGGACAGAGCTAGACAGATGTGTGCACACATCCCAGAGACCCCAGAGAGCCACAGATGTCATCACACTTTATTCTTCCCTCGAAAAAATGGGAGTATCTGAAAAGCTGGGGAGGAAGCCTATAATGGGGAGATCAAGTATACCTGCTGGTGTGATTGTCACATGGGGGCTGTTCCAGTGATAATGCAGGTTGTGGGGGTACATGTATCCAAAAGAATGCTTTTGTTTTTTTCATTTTTAACTATGAAGTTATTATCTGTTTTGTCTCTCCCCTGTTTTTATGTTAGTCTCAGGTCTTCTGCTTGTTTGCTTTTGCACACACTGAAACCTGTGCTCTGAAGCTGTCAGAAAACATCCATGGGCTGTGCCATTCCCTCTCAGCTCTGCAGGGATGCTGCAACCCCACAACAGCATGGAGATGGAGAGGCTTCAGGTGAGGGATTTTAGATCTGTACACTACAGACAATCAATGCAACAAGGCACACACTCCTGATTAAAGAACCACACCAGAACATCTTTAATGAAATCAAGTGCATGAGCTACACACTGAAAAAATTTGCTTAAGACTGTCCTAAATGCCAGGTTGTGCTGACAGCAGGAGGGTGTGTGGGTACAGTGCAGGGAGTGTGGCAGCAGCAGGGTTTCTGCTCTGGGCAGATCTCCCACATGGTCCCTCCAGGAGGGTTCTTGTCTCAGGAGCAGCACAGTGTGTCCCAAGCCCCCCAGGATTCACTCCACCCTTCCCAACCACACAAAAGGATGCACGAGCCCATGGGGGCCACAGCTCCCAGGGTCTGTGCAGGGGCCTGGCAAGTGGGGAAGTATCTACTGATGACAAGGGCCAAGTAACTCTGGTGGCTCTAGGGTGGTGACAACAAGAGAATTGTACAGACT